CAGCACTTTGGGAGGCCAAGGTGGGCAGATCACTTTAAGTCAGGAGTTCGAAACCAGCCTGGCCAACGTGATGGAAACCCCATCTCTACTAAGAATAACAAAAGTCAGCCAGACATGGTGATGTGTGCCTGAAATCCCTGCTACTTGGCAGGCTGAAGCAGGAGAATCACTTGAGCCTAAGAGGCAGAGGTTACAGTGAGGTGGGACTGTGCCATTGCACTCTGGCCTGGCCAACAAGAGCGAAACTCCAACTCAAACAAAACAAAACAAAACAAAACAAAACGAATATCAGAAGAAAAAAACTCAAAAGTGTAATGACTTTTACAAATATATTACAAATTAAAATTGAATTTTGAGTTTTACCGATATTCTTACATTTGTATTGTGTCTTTTCAAAGGTATTTTTTCTACTATACCTTTTTTTTTTCTGATAATATAAATAATACATCCTGTTAAAAAAATTTCAAAGGATATAGAGAATAATAAGGAATAGCATTAGTCAGGATAGGCCAAATCCCATTGACTTAATGCAATAAAGGTTTACTTCTTGCTCATACTATACACCCATTGTGAATCGCCAGGGGCTTTGCTTCACACGATCACTCAAGGACCCAGGTTGACAGAGGCTCCATCATCTTGTAATGTGCCATCTGGAATGCATTGCCTCCCCCGCTCCCCAGCCCACGACAGGGAAGACAACACTGAAGGGCAACTCATCTGCAATGAAATGTTTTGGCCTGGTAGCCTATTAACTGTAGGGATCAAAGAACAAAAATCCTCCATGGGCAGAAGCAGAGACGAAGCAGGCCTGTGGGTGAGCACTAATTCTACACTGAAGGAGAATAATAAAAATCACCTGTCCCCTACCCTGAGATAACCCCTGCTTGCTGTCTTCTGCCTGGCCTCACTGGCGTTCCTTATCACCAACCTTATGTTTGGGTTGGTGGGAATTACTCCTGCTTCTGGCAGATCACTGATAATTCTTGGTTGTGTTCTACCTTTGTGCCTCTTTTATCAGATTTTATCAGTGTATAAATAAGACAGGAAAAGACAAATCAAGGATCTCTCACTAGTTGTCTTAATAAGGAAATTTCATATTTCTTTTTAAAACTTTGCTTTAGAATATCTCTGGAAATATATACAAATAACTGGTATAGTGGTTGTATCTAGGGAGGGGAACTGGCTAGACAACGCTGGGCAGAGTGGGGGTATTGGAGGATTGGGTGGGACAGGTAACTTTCACTGTAATACACGTCTGTCACCCAATTTTTGTATCATGTAAATTATATCACCTATTTTTAAAAATAAGTAAAATAAAAACATTTCTATATTTTCTTACTTACTGAATATAACTGTACTGTGCAAATGAATAAATGCAAAACATTAACAGAGTTGAGTGATATTTTATTTTTTTCCACTGAATTTGGATACATGTCAAGCAAAGACCACATTTCAAATACAAACTCTTCAAAGTTTATATTTACCTTTTGGAGGGTCAAAATTTCATTATCCACATGGATAGTCAAGTCACAATCCTATGGATATCAGTAATCAATACAGTTGCTGTTATTTGAATGTTGCTTTTTAATTTTTTATTTTCTTAAATTAGTATTATTTTTTTGAGACAACTCTGTCTCACTCTGTTGCTCAGGCTAGAGTGTAGTGATGCAATCTCAGCTCACTGCAACCTCCCCGTCCCGGGTCCCCCTGAAAGAGGGAACAATAATGTTAATTACCCACAGATTGTATTTGCTCCAGGCTTTCAGCATTATGTCTATACTGAATAAAAGCAAGCAGCTCCAGCTGTTTGAGGCTGCTTTCTTTTTGGCCATTAGTGCCAGCCAGCCCACTAGCTGCTGTTACACTGCATATCTGTGTCTGAGTACTCCTTTCATCCGTTGCTTGGCCAGGGTCTGCGGGACAGACCCAACAGCTGGTGCCCTGTGTGAAGAATGCTGCAATGGATTGCGACGGAACCCTCGAAAACAAAGGTGAAGAGACTGTGCAGTAAGCAAGTAATTGGAATTGGAGCCCTCTTGGGATTTCCAAGTTCCAGGGAATTTTCAAGCTAGGGTTTCTTCATGGGACAACACTTATTTGCTCAACAGAAACAGCATATAAAAGTATTGAAACAACTGCTTAAAGCTAGTGGAGCCTCGGTTTCAGAGGCTCAATTAAGGGACCTAATGCAAACTTGTTTTCCATAACCCATAGTTCCCAGAAGGCACGTTAGACTTAGAGCTCTGGGAGCAAGTGGGAAGAAATCTTAAATGACAATCATGCATAAGGGCAACGGGGTCCCAGTAACATCTTTTAACATTATGGGCCTTAGTTGGGGCTGCTTTGACCCCACTCTACACAGAAGAGCCTAAAAAGGGAAGGGAGGAAGAACCGTCATCCTACCCTACTGCCGCCTTCTCCTCACTCAGTCCCACCATTACCGGGTAAAGGTGCCACGGAGGAGAGAGATTTTCCCAATAAATTGGAAAAAGGACAAGGGATACACTACAGTTATGGGACCCTGTCTTAAGCCGCATTAGAAAGGGAGCTCTTGGTCTGCCTGGTAATGCAAGATCAACAAGGCAATTGGGTACATGAACCCATTACTTTCAACACTTATAAAGAGATAAGAAAAACCATTAGAGAAAATGGAGCCACTAGCCCATTTATGAAAGGATTAACTGAGGCCATAGCAGACAACTTCTGTATGACCCCATGGGACTGGTCAGTGCTAGCTAAAACAACTTGAGAGGCCAGTCAATACCTCCTCTAGAGGGCAGAATTTGATGAATTATGTGCCGCAAACCCCTCTATGCAAAGCCAGACAGAACACAGCTGTAACTGCTGTGCTTGTCAAACCTGTTGCTGCACGCATCTGTACTCTTCAACAAAACCTGATGCAAAAAACAAAAGGGAGAGATGTAGATCGGTCAGAGTGGTGGGAGAAACTGTAGGGAAAGGAGCAGGCCTTCTGGAAGGTTGGAAGGCTCTGTATAGCTTTGGGGGAGAATAAGCTGAAGGCAGCTGTTTTCTGACCTTGAGGCAGAGGGCAAGGAGTAGGTACAAGGACGTGTAGGGGGATTTATCTTAAATAGGCTTTTTCACTTGTGTGGTCCAGAAACCGACCTTTGCTCATCCACACGCATGACTGCTCCCTGGAAGGGGGAATAATAATGTGAATTACCCACAGATTATGTTTGCTCCAGGTTTTCGGCATTATGTCTATACTGAATAAAAGCAAGCAGCTCCAGCTGTTTGAGGCTGCTCTCTTCTTTGGCCACTAATGCTGGGCAGCCCCCTAGCTGCTGTTACACTGCATATCTGTGTCTGAGTACTCCTTTCATCTGTTGTTCGGCCAGGGTCTGCGTGACAGACCCGGCATAGATGAGAATTCAGCTGTCTGCTATTAAACCAGACATTAAAGCAAGTTGTGAAATGTGAAACAATGCCACTGTGCTCACTAAATTATTGTTTGGTAAAATATAGTAATTTTTTACCATATTATTTAAATAACATTTAAAAAATGTTATTGATGTTAACATGCAACAAGGGTCAAAGGGTCCTGCAACCAAACACTTTGAGGACAGCTGCTTTATCCTGTGGCTGAAAACTATAAAGTAAGATTCCTTTAAGTAAATGTGGTATATGCATCAATCTCTTCATTTTTGATGTGCTTTCAATACAAGTATCCCCTTTCTTCCTTTTGCAAGAAAGAAACTAAGAATGTAAGCAGTTAGTTACTGGCTTCAGTCCCACAAAAAGCTACAATTTTTCTAAGCAGTGATCTGGAACCACTTTAACTGGACTCTTGCTATTAAGATAGCTCTTAATGTTTCGTTTTCTTTTCTATCTTTCACACAGAGCTTACTCACATAGCATTTTGGTATATCAAAATGAAATGCAAGGAACCAAAAATAACATAACTGAAGGCAGTAAAAGCAAAATTAAATAGGAAGATCATCAGTCAAAGAAGACCCACTGGAGAGTAAGTATGCAAGTTGTTAAGAATTAATTGGGTTACAAAGGGAAAAACAGATTGGGTCAGTGAAAGGAAATCATGGTTTGTTTCCCTGAGGCCCTGCTAATACCTCCAAACTGGGCCAGATCGTAAAGCAAGATACCTTGAAAAGGACTTTCGCATTAACTTTTCAGGTTGCATGTGAGTTGATTCACAAGTAGTTTAAAGAATCATGCAGGAAAAGGACCAGATCTTGTAAATCTCTGAGTCCCTATATTTACTGTGAACATTTTTCTAGGGAAAATTCAGGTAGCTTATCAAAGGATTTCTGACTTTTCCAGGGAGTTGTTTTAAAAACAAAATATTGAAATTTTGAACACTTATAGTGGTTTATGGGGTAATTGGGGTAGAGTATATAAAATTGGTCTCATCTAAGAAAGCTCTGATTGGTTTCCATCATCGTGGTATTCAGGAACTATTGTAAATTGGCCAAAATCTTGTTTTCCAGTTTCTTCCTTTCGCTTTTTATTGCCTCAAGTTGCCTGTCTTCCCTGCTCTTATTTTTCTTCTAGCTTTATGATTCTCTTACATATTCCATGTCGAACTTGTCGTCTTTATTCCAGTCATCTTCTGAAGAGGTTCTTGGTTCCTGCCTTGGTGGCTGTAACTGATTCTCTTCCTCCTCGGTGGACCTTCCTTATCCCCTAGGAGACACAAGGGTCCTCCTCCAGGTTCTCCTCCTCCCTGCTTTTGTCATCTTCCAGGTGCCTCCACAGGTCAGAGTCAGTGATGAAACAGGAACTTGGAAAACATCCCTTGGATGTTGCCTACCTAGCTTTTCTTTTCTTTTTGCAACAGTCTCAATCTGGCACCCCAGCTGGAATGTAGTGGCATGATCTTAGCTCACCACAGCCTCGACCTCCTGGGCTTAGGTGATCCTCCCGCCTCTGCCTCCCAGGTAGCTGGAACTATAGGTCCCACCATCATACCCAACTAATTTTTGTATTTTTTGTAGAGACTAGGTTTCACCATGTTGCCTAGGCTGGTCTCGAACCTCTGAGCTCAAGTGATCTACCCACTTTGGCCTCCCCAAAGTGCTAGGATTACAGGCATGAGCCACGACCCCCAGCCTGACTTGGCTTTCCTTACTTTAGAATAGGAGTTATAAAAGTTAAAATTATGTGAGACAGATGATTCTATTCTTTTATCCTAAAGTTACATTTCTGAAAAATGGGTCTTTATAAATATGAATCCACACGATTTCCTTACCCTCATTTTAAACCAACATTGGTTGTTTAAAACTAAGCCTTTTTTGTTTCCATTTTTGGCACAAGGGGGACTTCCTACAGTCTTACTCATCTTGGCTTCTTTATCCAAGCAACACCACTTGCAAGACCAATGGCATTTGTCAAGTCGGCAGCTACGTTTCTCTGCCCTTGTATATCAAATCTGGAATGCAACTTTTTTGGATAGGATCAAATTAAACTGTACTATGTTTAAATACAGGGGAAAAAAAACTTGAGTGTGGGAAGTACTTGTTTGATTGGGTCTTTTATAGTTATGAAAATAGATTTTGTATTATAATTGCCTTTACACATACACACGTTTCTGTAAGTAGATTCATTATTTGTATACCTTAATAAGTTATCTTATGACCGATTTATGGCCATGAGAGTAATGGTTCAATCTGTCGACAAAACTGTCATCAAAACTCTCTCCCAGTGAATTTTTTATTTTTATTTTAGGTTCAGGGGTACAGGTGCAGGTTTGTTTTATAGGTAAACTCGTATCATAGTGGTTTTTTGCACAGATTATTTTGTCACCCAGGTACTAAGTCTAGTACCTAATAGTTATTTTTTTCCTGCTCCTCTCCCTCCTCCCATTCTGCACCCTGAAGTAGACCCCAGTGTCTGTCGTTCCCTTCTTTGTGTCGATCAGTTCTCATCATTTAGCTCCCACTTGTAAGTGAAAACATGTGGTATTTGGTTTTCTGTTCCTGCGTTAGTTTGCTAAGGATGATGGCCTGCAGCACCATCCATGTTCCTGTGAAAGACATGATCTCCTTTCTTATGCTGCATAGTATTCCATGGTATATATGTACTACATTTTCTTTATCCAATCTGTCACTAATGGGCATTTGGATTGATTCCATGTTTTCACTATTGTCACACTGATTTCTTTACCTTCAGACAAAATTATTTAATCATCAGTGACCTATTTTTAGGCAAATTTAACTTTTTCAGTTTTCAGACTCAGTACTCCATTTTTTTCCTTAAAGTTTGGGAAACAAAGTATAACACTACTGTATTGATAACTTGATATGTACCTTTTTAGCCTTTTTCTATGCATGTATAATTTCTTACATGACACGTTGCTGCATAATTTTGTAACCTGCATTTCACTTAACTAAACATACTGTGGAAATTTATCATGACGTTTTTTTAACGTGTACCAAATTCACAAGGCTTAAAATTTAACAAATGAAGGTAGAGTGAAAACTATGAAAATCAAGTCTTCCTCCTATGCTGAGAAACATTTTTAATGGCTGCATATCATAAAGATGACCATATCCCTGGGTGAGCCTCCCTAATCCGAAATCTGAAATCTGAAATGCTCTAAAATCCACAACTTTCTGAGCACTGACCTGATGCTCAAATGAAAGTGTGGGTTTCTGGATTAGGGATGCATTCAAAATTCAAAACACTTTTGGTCCTAAGCATTTCTGATAAGGGATGTTCAACCTGTGTTTTGTTTCTTTCTTGTTTTTTTTCTTTGAGACAGGGTCTTGCTCTGTCACCCAGGCTTGGAGTGCAGTGGCACAATCGCGGCTCACTGCAGCCTTGACCTCCCAGGCTCAAGCGATCCTCTCACCTCAGCTTCTCCAGTGGCTGGAATCACAGGTGTGCATCACCATGCCCAGGTAATATATATATATTTTGGTAGAGGGAGCTCTGTATATTGCTCAGGTTGGTCTCCAACACCTGGGCTCAAGCCGTCTTCCTGTCTTGGCCTCCCAAAATGCTGGGATTTCAGGCAAGAGCCACTACACCCAGCCAACCTGTGTGGTTTTGAACCCATCTCCAGTTGTTGACATTTGTGGTTGGGTTTGTTGTTCTTGTCATTTTTTTTTTTTTTTCCTATTTATAAATACTGTGATTGAATAGTATTGTAGAAGTAAGTTTGGGTCAACTCTTTTTTTTTAAGGATGTGTTTCTTGAATCTCCTTCCTTTCCTTCCAATCCTTTCCTGATTTCTTCTTCTCACTTCTTTCATCATCTCTTTTTCCTGCTTCCAAATGCATGTATTACTGAAGCCTCAACTCCTGTTCCTTTGCCTTTACCTACCGCTTCCTGATGTTCTCATGTATCTATACTCAGTCCCTATTCCTTCCCTCTATTATCTTGTCTCTCCACATGCCATTAACTGAAAGATCATATCCAGAAGATAAACACTTCTCTTTCTTTCTTTTACCTATGTTTCCATTATTTTTAGCTGAAACCATCTGTTTGTGAGATTCAGGAAAAGATTCAATCTGAAGGATCCTGCAACTAAAAACTTTGAAAACTGTGTTAAGGGGCCCCAAAAGCATAGCTTCTAAACTTCACTGACAAAAGGGACTGGGGTCATGCAGTCTGGAGTCAGAGTGAGGTGGGATTAAAAGCTCTATGTAGTTGTTTTGCATATTGCTATCAAGCTTCTATTTTAGGCATGAGTTTTGGCCCTGGTAGATAAAACCATTTCTCTAAGTTATTAAAACCTGTACTTATATATAGAAGTTAGTAATTTATATTTAACATTTTGGTTTAAAAATCTCTGAGTTCTGGACCATCTGGGTCTCAAAAAAATGACCAAAGTATACACATTAATTTTTATGTTCTGTATGATATGACATATAATTCTTATTCATATATTTAATTATTTGGGGAAATGACTGAATTAGGCTTTTAAGAATAGTGGTGCTTGCTTTGTAAAGTTTCAAAATAGGTAACATTAAGGTTTTCTTTTCACTTTTTTTTGCAGGGACGGAAAATAAAAGCAGTGTTTTATCATGTGTATTTCAGCAGGTCTTCTTGAAATTTAAGTAAAAATATGACTGCCCTCTCTTCAGAGAACTGCTCTTTTCAGTACCAGTTACGTCAAACCAACCAGCCCCTAGATGTTAACTGTCTGCTGTTCTTGATCATACTTGGGAAAATATTATTAAATATCTTTACACTAGGAATGAGAAGAAAAAACACCTGTCAAAATTTTATGGAATATTTTTGCATTTCACTAGCATTCATTGATCTTTTACTTTTGGTAAACATTTCCATTATATTGTATTTCAGGGATTTTGTACTTTTAAGCATTAGGTTTACTAAATACCACATCTGCCTATTTACTCAAATTATTTCCTTTACTTATGGCTTTTTGCATTATCCAGTTTTCCTGATAGCTTGTATAGATTATTGCCTCAATTTCTCTAAAACAACCAAGCTTTCATTTAAGTGTCAAAAATTATTTTATTTCTTTACAGTAATTTTAATTTGGATTTCAGTCCTTGCTTATGTTTTGGGAGACCCAGCCATCTACCAAAGCCTGAAGCCACAGAATGCTTATTCTCACCACTGTCCTTTCTATGTCAGCATTCAGAGTTACTGGCTGTCATTTTTCATGGTGATGATTTTATTTGTAGCTTTCATAACCTCTTGGGAAGAAGTTACTACTTTGGTACAGGCTGTCAGGATAACTTCCTATATGAATGAAACTATCTTATATTTTCCTTTTTCATCCCACTCCAATTATACTGTGAGATCGAAAAAAATATTCTTATCCAAGCTCATTGTCTGTTTTCTCAGTACCTGGTTACCATTTGTACTACTTCAGGTAATCATTCTTTTACTTAAAGTTCAGGTTCCAGCATATATTGAGATGAATATTCCCTGGTTGTACTTTGTCAATAGTTTTCTTATTGCTACAGTGTATTGGTTTAATTGTCACAAGCTTAATTTAAGAGACATTGGATTACCTTTGGATCCATTTGTCAACTGGAAGTGCTGCTTCATTCCACTTACAATTCCTAATCTTGAGCAAATTGAAAAGCCTATATCAATAATGATTTGTTAGTATTAATTAAAAGTTACGACTATAGTAAGATCATAATTTTACAAACAGAAGGAACTCAGGACGTATTAAAAACTAAACTGAACTAAAGCTTTTGCCCCTTAACTTTGATACTGTTCACAATGTGTCTTTTGGGGCTATGATACTATTTATTAAATAGTGTTTTATTTTAAAAATGAAATAATTCCAAGAAGTTTTTATAGTTGTTCAGGGACGGTATATTACAAATATTATTTTGTTATTAACACAGAAAGTGAAATGAGTTAACATTTGGCCATACTGATGTTTGTGTTACCCAAAAAAACTACTGGATGCAAACTGTTATGTAAATCTGAGATTTCACTGACAACTTTAAGATACCAACCAAAACATTTTTATTAAATGTTCAAATGAAAGCAAGAAAATAAAAATTGTTCTTAAAATGATTTGGTATAAAGTTCAGTGTAAGAGGAAGATTAGCTTCTTTTAAATGTAGCTAATTTTAAAAAGTGTATCTCTGTTCTTAATGCAAATATCCCTGGAAGAAGAGAGTTCTGGTTGCTCACCTTATGGAACTGGAAGTAATGACTAGGTCCCTTTCCATGATTCAGCAGATTCGTTTTCGTATTATAACTTGTATGTCACATACTTGCATGTCACATCATAATGACATTAGCAATGTATCACACGTAAAAGTAGAGTTTTTCATCCTCAGCACTCTTGACATTTGGGGTTGGTTAATTTTCTGTTGGGGGACAGTTTAGCAGCATCCCTGCTCTCTGCCCGCTGATTGGTAGCACCTCCATGCCCAGTAGAAACAATAAAAAATGTCTCCAGACATTGCCAAACCTCCCCCGGTGGATGGGCAGAGTTGCTTCATTGGAGTAAAACAATATGAGTGGCAGAATAATCTTATGTTACTTTAGGAATTAAGCTACACAGGTATTTTTATCACCCATTTATAAATACTATATTGCATAAATCTAAACCTAGCTTTTCCTGAATTGGTGGCTTTTGAATTTTTTTTTTATATTTATAGTAAGATATATTTTTTAACATCATGACCCATAGACATGTATGTATTATGTTTACATGTCATAACAATACCCTTACATATCATGCAAATACGTTTTTTAGTGTCATTTTTTAAATGCTGGTTTTGATCCATTAAATTGAGTTCATGATCCACAAATGGATTACTTTCCATTATTTGAAAAAATGTCCTAAAACAAGTGCTATGGAACACTAATAATAGCAAAGAGATTTAAGAAATGTGTCCTGTGTGCCAGGTACCATCTTAAGTGTTTCACATGCAGCAACTGATTTAATCCTCACAGCAACTCTGACAGGAACTATTATCCCCTTCTTACAGATGAGGAAATTTAAACAATGAAAGTAAGAAACTCACTATGATACAACTAGACACTGGGGAAGCTGGGATGCAAACCCAGAATTCTGGTCCAGAGTTCTTGCTCTTTACCACTATATTACACTGCCTTTCACTGACTGTTCTCAAAAAGAATGGTTTGTTTCAGAGTCAAATGTGAAGAATGTTGTTTCTTAATTATTTTTCACTTGAAAATGTACAATGCCTATGAACATCTTAAGGCTTTACAGTGCTATAATGAAGAAGAAACCCATTTACTTGAGCACAGAAGTCTCTTTAATTAGCTAATTAATTAACCATCTATAAAGACAAGTTGGGAAATGCTCCTGGGCACTCAGTCAGGAATTCTTTGAGTAGCAGGTAATACAAACTCAACCTGAGCCATTCTAAGAACAAGCTGGATATTGGAAAGACAACTCGGTAAACTACTAGGAGAATCTCTCTTGAGTTGTTGGTTTCCACTTTGTGTCCACAAAGTGGGTGTTCTGGCTGCCAGCAGCTCAGGGCTTTCATAATTCCAACTTAAAGCATCTCCTAACTTCAAATATATAGTCCCAGGGAATGACTGTTCAACCTGTCTTCAATCATATGTCCACCTCTCTATGATCAGGTCTGTTAACAGAAGACATGGTAGGGAACAGAAATAACCCCTATAATAGATGCTACAATGTTAAAAAAAATAGAGAAAGTAGGAATAAAAATCACATTATTCTATAAAAACCAAATGCATATAGAGAGCCAACTATATCGAAAGTTTACGACAAATAATCCTATGTTCAAGAGAACATCAGGGTGTGTTTAAACAGTTTAAAACATTAAAACCCAGCCCTCTTTCCTTCTCTGTGTTACTTTTTCCTCTAAATATATTGCCTTCTAGTTGGCCAAATATGGGACTGAAATACGTTTAAATATATTGAAATTAATCAGTAAAGACTTAAAACTCTTTGCAGATTTTAAATCAGGAGATTTTAAAACCATTTCAAACCTCACTAAGCTTTTTAACACAGGATTCCCCATGTCTCACAAGCTTAAGAAAAAAAATTATTCAATAGACCAGCCAAATGGAAGAGGCTTTTATTTGTAAAGAAATGAACTTACAACTGGTCTACAATATATTATTATAATATAAACAATATAAATAAATGATCCTGTAGGCCCACTAATCTTCCATCCAGACCCACACGAAGCAATGTTACAACAATATTCTATATGAAAATGTGCAGGTAACAAAGGTGCAATTACAAGCAAGTTAAGCAGCAGAGTATAAGGTGCTTTAATTTAATAGTTAATGTTGCCATCAACAAACATTTAAATGCTCAATTTACTTCACTGAATACAGACACAACAAATATGAAAATCTAAATTCATACACATGCTACTTAATATGAAAGTGCTTTCTCTTTTTTAAAAAAATACACCAAATGGACACTTTTTACATAGATCAAATGTGCTCTTACAATGCAAAATTAACCTTCATTTTCAGGTTATACATTTTAAAACTGTAGCTATCAACACCAATCTAGGAACTCTAATGCTAAGAGTGCTAAAAACTATTTCATTTCTTGTAAGGAGGACTCTAATACAATATCCAATGTAAAGAATACATCTATATATAATCTTAACATTTGTTTTCTGTAAAGATAAAAAATGTTTTCTTTCCCCTTGGTGATCTTTGTTCATCCTGGGTGGATCATCTTTTGAGGTTTTAATAATACGAAAGTCCTATTTTAGAACAATGGGAGGAACCAAAAGGAGGAATTACAAAATTGGTTAACATGTGCTTGAAGCATCCAAAAAACACCAGTTTATCACAATTGGTCTTTGCTAAAATTAACAACAAAATGTTAATAAGGAAGAAGACAAAAAGTACTAATTTCATAAAAGGCTTGAAATGCCTGCCACCATTGTCAGTATCCATCTATCCAACCTTCATTTACTACAAGCATACTACTACTTTGAGGATAATTTTTGGAACTTACTTTGACTTTTTCCCCTATAGGAAAAACAAAGACCAAGTTTTTGAAGGAGAAGACTGGGAATCTAGTTTAAATGTATACATCCAAAATTATATATCATCTTTGCACATTCAGTTGACTTTTTGAAATTTAATACATATACAAAAAGTATTTATGTAATACACATTTTAACAGCATAAAATATTTGAAAAATTAGTTACACTTTAAAAATTAAAACACTTGAAAAGTATTTTTTAAACTAGTACCATGGAATAATTTTTTGAAACCCAGATTATCTGGCTACTTAGATGATAGTCTTCCCGTTTTCAATTAAGTGTGAAAGATTCTAATATAGATTCTAACCCAACATTTTATTTGGATATTTCCTGCTTTAAAAAGCTGCAACAGGCTAGGCGCAGTGGCTCATGCCTATAATCCCAGCACTTTGGGAGGTTGAGATGGGCGGATCACTTGAGGTCAGGAGTTTGAGTCCAGCCTGGCTAACATGGTGAAACCCCGTCTCTACTAAAAATACAAAAAACTAGCCAGGCATAGTGGCGCATGCCTGTAATCCCAGCTACTTGGGAGGCCAAAGTGGGAGAATCGCTTGAACCTGGGAAGGTGGAGGTTGCATTGAGCTGAGATCGCACCACTGCACTCCAGCCTGGGTGACAGAGCGAGACTCTGTCTCAAGACAAACAAAAAGCCACAAGAATGATAAACTATTTTTAATAGGTATTTTCATTCTATATCTTTATGGAGAATGTTAGTATCAACTGATGTTGACATGTAAAGCTGTGTCAATAGGAAGTACAGTGTGATTCACAGCATCCCAGAGTGACAAGGAAGGGACCTTAACCCAATAAATGATTCTCCCATTCAATGTTTATCCCCCAAATACTTACCAATTCAAGCATGGAACTGTTTCATGTCTACCCGTTCCGCATTTTAAAGGATGCCCTTTGTATGTATGTGCTTTCTAGAATATTACTGCTTCTTACGTATCTTTAAAAGGTGGATATTTGTAATAGCTTAAAATACAGTAACATTTATTTTGCGTCATCTTAATTTAAAAACAAAAAATAAATGAACGAGTCTGTTCCAGTGATCTCCTTTGAGATTTTTCAGTTTTAGAAAGTTGCTACACTGTCAGGCGTGGTGGCTCATGCCTGTAATCCCACCACTTAGGGAGGCCAAGGTGGGTGGATCACTTGAGGTCAGGAGTTCGAGACCAGCCTGGCCAACATGGTGAAACCCCATCTCTACTAAATACAAAAATTAGCCGGGTGTCGTGGCGGGCACCTGTAATCCCAGCTGCTCGGAAGGCAGAGGCAAGACAATCGCTTGAATCCAGGCGAGGTTGCAGTGAGCTGAGATCACACCACTGCACTCCAGCCTGGGCGACAGAGCGACCCCGTCTCAAAAAAAAGGTTGCTACACTGTCAATACTGGGTAAAAAGCTCTTATATCAACACCAACTTTTTTTTGTTCTGCCACATGCCTTGTATAGCAACAACTCTGGAACAGATTCAAGTGTTAAAATAATGCCGTGAAATATGGGCTGTCTCAACCTGTAAGTCCTTAATGTTAAGTCTCCTAAATTTTGTAACTTAATCAGGTGTAGGGCCAACTGATGTTTAGTATGTGAAATGTGTTATAAAAATTATGATATGATTCACTCAGACCCCTTAGATGTCATCTAGCCTAACCCTTTACCCAATGCATAAAAATACTCCCTCCCAGTTCCAAGTTTATTAAGATTCCCTCTCAGTCAGTTTATTAAGTAGTAATGATTATGTTCATATTTATTTTAAGCCACAATGAATTTTGGGGGGGAAGATTTTACTTATTACTAGTTCCTCATGTCATGATCACCACACACTGCACATATAAGTGTTCAAATGGTTTGCTAAATGAATATAAGTACATGAATGACAATATTCATATGTTTTCATATATTCAGTGGTTAACCAATAAGGAGCATTTAGGAAAATGTCCTCATTTGCTTGTTACGTATGAATTTTCTATTTTAATCCTTAGGAGAACAAAGATTGTAGGTGACCCAAGAAATGGATGCTAAACCGAACCCTTAAAAAGGGAAAGAGAATGAAGTAGGAGCAACCCCATTACATGGCCTAGAATCATAGTTTTAGAGCTGGGAGGTACCTCAAAGATGAATTAAACCAAAATCAACCTTTGAGTAGTACAGGGACCATATTGCATATCTGGAAGCTGTTAAAAAAGCTGAGTAATTGCCCAACATGTCACACACAGCTAACCCACTGACATAAAACCCCAGTCTCCAGACCAGTGTGTTAATCCTCATTCATCATCATCTTAATTCATCTATTATTTACTACTGAAATAGATTATTTACTGTTTAATGCTACCCAAAACAAAAAAATACTTTTAAGGGAAGCATTCTAAATAAAGATTTAAATACTAGACACTTCTGGTTTACTTGAAGCAAGACTAAAAAATTCTTTCTAAAACAGGTTGATGTTTAACTTCACTGATGACTAAACACCCCACCACTCTCACGAACACCAACTTTTTCACCATCGTCAGTTAAAGCTCCACAAAGCTTGGATTTAACACTGATAATATTCCATGAAATGTAACTTTTAGGTCAATAAATGATGGTGACTATCAATCCTTAAGATGATTCCTGGAGTAAATTTAAACAGGTGCTCTAAAAGAACTTACTACCTTACTCTTATATTTAATTAAAACCTTGCTATGTTAGTATAACAGTGTTTTAAAATTATATTGGTTTTCTCCAAACTGAAATTCATTACTCTGCTTCTTTTAAACAACATGTTTTGTTTTCTTTCTATGGATTCATACTGAACACCACCAGTATCACTGAGAGAACCAGTACTTGTAAAAAAACAGTAGAAAAAAAATATTTTTCAAAAGTAGAAAGCTAGCTAGAACCTCATTATGTTGTACCTCTTCTCTAACATTTCAGATTAAAATTGTCATCTTTAAATAAGATTAAATGGTAACAAACTATAAAAGGGAAAAAATAAAACATCTAGAAAACATTTCCCAAACGTTCCCATAAACATGACACTTGGAAGGGGTGTGTGCATGTGTCTGAGTAGAAAAGCTGGTCTTCAGATCTGAAAAGGAGGGCAGAGATTCCCCCTTAATGTATGTTTTCTAAATTGAAAGTTTAGAAAAAGCCATATTCTCTGGAATGTGATGGTAATAATTATATTTGTATTAATGCTTTACAACTTTTTTTTTTAAAAAAAGCTTTCTCATAGTACAATTTGAAAATGGATTAGGTTCTAAAAACTAATATGCAAAACTTGGAAAATTCTTAAAAATTTAGGAAATTCTTTTTCCAAAGAAGGTAATCTAATTTTAAACTTTTTTTATTTGAAGAAAGCTTATGTAACTACTGTGAACAAAACTATGTAAGGATACATTTTATGAACTTCTAACAAAAGAGGACCTATCTTCCCAAAGAATCTTTTGTTTTGTTTTGCTTTTTTGAGACGGTGTCTTGCTCTGTCACCCAGGCTGGAGTGCGGGGGTATGATCTCAACTCACTGCAACCTCTGCTACCTAGGTTCAAGCAATTCTCCTGTCTCAGCCTCCCAAGTAGCTGGGATTACAGGTGCACGCCACCACACCCAGCTAATTTTTGTGTTTTTAGTAGAGATGGGGTTTCATCATATTGGTCAGGCTGGTCTCGAACTCCTGACCTCAGGTGATCTACCCGCCTCAGCCTCCCAACGTGCTGGGATTACAGGTGTGAGCCACCATGGCCAGCCCCAAATAATTTTTTTTTAAGATATACAGCTTAACAAGTTGAAATTTTAGTAAGATTGCATATTTACTTTTCCTAATACTGTATTTGTGCTTATCTAAACTGGATCACAATCTTTGAGATGAAATTAAATGCTCTAAGTAGATTTATAAAATACCAATATTGATGAATGTGGGTAAACAGTTCATTTCATGATCCACACTGCTGTGAACCAAAGAAGCAGAGGTAGGCTTGTGTTTACCGAAATCCAGACTAGGAAAGAGAAACCTATAGCTTTTCTTTTCCCAATTCTTTGACTGAGATACAACCTAACAAATAAAATACTATCTTAAAATGCCTCTTTGTAACAATCTACAGAGGTGATTCAACTGTGGTATCTGAAAATGGAAACTCTGTAATGCTGGCAACTCAATTACAACAACCTTTGAATTTTTGACAAATATTCTCCAACTATAATAAAAGGTTGTCAAATTTTCGGAAATCAAAAATCACTAACTTATATATCATTGGAACTATTAATATCCATGCTCCTAAGCATGGAGACAGTGGGTATAGAGAGTGAAAGAATGAGTCTGATTACAGGTAAATCTTGACATATAAAAACTATAGCCTATTTGTAACCGGCATCTAACAATTAAAATGTATTATTTTGAACTATGGATGTAGGCCATATCTATCCTAAATAACTTCTATCCTCTTGGGTCTGGAATGCTTTGTTCCTCCTACTTGTCTCCTCCTCTACTTCCCTATCCTTCCCCCTAGAAAACCTTCCTTAGGGCCCAGCTAGTTATATATGTAGTACACAAGAAACAGACTGAGCAATCATTTTGCATAGATGGGCCAGTTTCCACTGCCCAAAGGTTGCTCTGGAACATGACTGTCAGGTATCAGAAAGTCCTGCCCCAGCTGCCTCCCTTCATCAAGTTAGCCCCAATACAAAATCCTCGCTAAAGATTTTGAGACAAAGATCTAAGAAATAAGTTTTCATGCAGTTTTCTTTGAGCTAGAGGGCTTAGAGAGGTAGTGAGATGAGGCCCTTTCATGCCATTAGCTAATGCTCAATGCCAGTAGGCTGCATGTGTTCCTGCAATTCATCAAGGTGAGAGTCTTTAAACCACAAACTATAACCAGGCTGTTCTGGTTGAAAACATATCTTTAAAACATTTTAACAGTATGTCCAGTCAGTTTCATCCACTGGATATGGCTGTCAGGTCAGCATCACTCACATACATCTATAATAATGTATTCTTTCAAAAATCGTTTATACACATTTAATATAGGCATATAGCCTAAGACTATATTGCCTCCCTACCATACTTGTGCCATTGTGGAACCAAAAGCCTGAAGATGGACATAATGTACTTTAAGACATTTAACTGAACAAGTCAGTGGGAGACAGGGCACTATGTAACACATTTCAATTCAATCTAAGACTTGTATTTGTGAATAGATGTCTCATTATAATTTTATACTTGATATATGAAGATAAGCTATGTCAAAAATTATTCAAAGGCATGATCACAATAATACTTGTTTCATAGTTCTAAGTATTTTGATACACCAGGAAACAAAAATGAACTGGGATCCCTAATGAAAGGAAATTATTTCTTCTAAGTAAAACATGAATATTCACTTCAAAAGTGCAGAAATGTGCTCAGTGTTGAAGCAGGCTAAGCTAACAAGGATGATGGCCTCCTCCTCTGACCCTTCCCATGCTCAAGCTTTTGCATTACCATTTCTTTCCTCCCATTCCACCTTGTCTACTCCTGGGTGACTGCTCTTAAACCACACCTTTTTAAAAAGTTCTGTTTAGAGCATTCAACAGCAAAGTAACAGTACCATCAGGGCAATAATATGCTACTTAAAAAATGACAGGATTTGGAACACTCTATCTCATACTATATTGACTATTCAAAGCTGCATAGCTGTGTCTTACACATGCCTACACAAGGCTTGATGAATATTAATGTCATATAAAAAATAATTTTCACAAATCAGCTCTCTTAGTTGTTTAACTTCCCTAGGAACACAAGGCTTAAAGCAAAATTTCAAACTTAACGGTTTTTTATCCCAATGGGACAAAGAGTGCAACACTTTAAGGAAGTCAGAAAATGCAAACTTAGGTAGCAAAAGTAGGAAGAACCTTCATGTTCCCTGTTTGTCATTACCTCTCCCCAGTCAAAATCCTAGAACTATTAGTAGTAGTATGAAAGGATATGAAAACAATTATACTCCCCACCTATATTATACTGAAACTGTGCTTTAAAGCTCAGGAGAGAGGTGGATGCTCAGTGTTGTCTATATATCCATTATACCTAGTTGAAGCTTTGAAATTAAGATGATTAACTCATCTTGGAAGAAACAGCTGTACCAATGTGATAGCAAACAAGCCATTTTTAAATAAAAACTCACTTGAAAAAAGCAAGTGCATCTTCTGGGTATGTTCTGAGTGGGGACAACAGAGATCTGGACTAGATTTAAGATTATAAGGTATTCTCCAATAGAAAACCCTCCTGTAAGCCCCTCCTGAATACTTTTAAGACAGCAGTGGCACAGGGGCTTTCAATAAGTACAGAATGGCTGCTAGTAGGAAAGCAAATAAATAAAAGGAGAGCCTACAACACAGTTCAAAATTGATACCTTAAAGGCCACAGTAATATAGTTATGGGAGGTAATCATTATTGCTGGAGGAGTCTATCCCCAAATAATAAACTTTGTATTAACTGTGGATAATCTATGAGAAGTTTTAATTCCAGCAAGATTTTCCATTGCACCTCCCTCCCTCATACTGTGAGCCGTCTCTTACTAATGCTTAGCCTGTATTGTGTTCTGAAATTCCAAGAAGAGGGGAAAAGTCAAGCATATGACAATTCTGTCATGATGATTAACTGCTAATAAATGAAAACCGATTATAGAGTACCTAGCTTTCCTTGAAACTTTAATCCAATGATTAAAAATGTGATATAAAGAAATATGTAACATAGACTACAAGCTATCGTAGGTCTGGAACATGAGCCTTATATTATATTACATATTCTAATCCTACATGTAACTATCAGTAAACATCTTTTTTTAAAACATTACTACACAAAGAATTCCACAAAGCATACATTCAAACAAGAGGCATCTAAAGATTAAAAAAATTACCCGCTGTATTTTTGTATAAAAATAATCAACATTCTCTAATGTACACAAAGCCAAAAGATAAATATAATATCTGTGATGTCTTCAGTGACATCTTTAGTCTTCTACTAGCTCAACACAATCTTTTTGAAAAGAGCAGTGAAAATGACTGAAACTCATGGACTCTTTATTTTCCCCTCCTTACTCGACTTCTGCCAAATATCTGTGTATGTTCCTTCAATTACTAAAATATCTCAATCATGGTAATATAAGAAAAGAGTAAAACAAAACATTCATCATCTCAAATAAAATTTTTGATGCCCAGGACTATAAAGCTTTCAGGGCTTCCACAAACAATTTTGTTTTAGTGTCATAATTCTATAGAACACTGTTCAGTAAAAGGTTTTGCTTTAAATTTTTTTCCTCAAACATGTACATACAAAATTATATCTGGTGATTTAAGAGAAATCACTTGGTAAGTGCTTTGCAGGAAACATGCAAACGTTTGGTAAAGGAAGTAGGAATGTACATTCTAGCTAGTCCCAGCATGTTCAACATTAGAAAAAAATCCAAAGAGCAACCACATATCTGCTACAAACTATTTTCTTGCCAGAAAAGGCTATGCACTAGTTCATAGGTATAATCATATTATGCCTTCATCACTGCAGAAGAGCACAGAGGTATGAAAGATAATCAGAATGAATTAGTACTTTCTGAGAGTTAAATTATTTGCATGTTAGTCCTTATTTTATAGGACAATTTGTAGATCTTTTTTTCTTTTTCTAGTATGATTAAACTAGAAAAAATTATTCAGCAGAATATGAATGTTATGTGAATAATACTTTCATCATATATATTTAGTATGCTCCATCTTTTAAAAGTATTCCTTTGGGTGAAAACAGTATTTATCACTCCTTCTATATCAGAGTTTCTCAACCTTGGCAGTACCGACATTTTTGAACCGATAATTCTTGATAGTGGAGGGGTGCTGTCCTGTGCATTATAAGATATTTAGAAACATCTCTGGCTTCTACCTACTAGATACCAGTAGCAACCCTCCCCTAAACCCAGCCCCAAGCTGTGACAACCAAAATGTCTCAGCATTGCCAAATGTCCCCTGGCGATCAAAACTGACCTCCACTGAGAACCACTGCTCTAAATAAATGTACAAAAACTGAGAGGAAAACTTTCTCAGTCAAACCAAATTCTTGGTCAAGTTTGGAATAGGAACTAACTCTTCTCACTTCCAGATCAGTATTGTTCATACTAGAACACAATTCCTTTTTTATAGGTAAAGCATATGTCTAAAAGACATATTTTTAAAAATGTACACTGATTTCATATGATTCTGTCACTGGACTACTAAATTATTCCATAACATACCTCTCATGACAACCTTTAGAAAACTAATAGGGTAGAAAAAAATGTATAAGAAAATCGAATCAAAAGAGGAGAAATGTAAATCATTAAATTACTTTTAAAAGGATTCTTTATATTAATGATAAACATCACCTTTAAAAAAATTATCTTGTGTAACACATTTCTTTGAAAAATATCATGGCCCTCTATAACAAGTCTTTCAATGTTTCATGTAACCTGTAAAATTAATTTTACCAATGTTTGTTAATTATGAAAATGTATGATGAATAATTATACCTGTAGAAGAAATGTCAGTATCTGATGTGGAAATCCCAATGTGCTTGGCTATCCACTACAGTAAGTGTCATATTCTAGACCAAGTTAGGCCTTTACCTTACAAGTTTGTGTGAGAAGAGTAAAACTGCTGTTTTATCAAGGTTTCATGTTCCTGTTAAGATTCCTTCAGAGAGTTGATGCGTGCACAGATCTTCAGGGCTGGGCCTAGCTTGATATTCATTGCACTCATGAGATGGTCTTCTTTTAGCAAGAGAAGGGCCTGTCCATCAATCTCCTGTGCTCTGAATTCATCTGCAATATCCTGGCAGCCTGGAATTTGACCAGAGGAGGGAAGTTAGAATTAAATATACAACAATTAGACATTACTCCTAACAGTCACAGTTATGCTCTCACTGGGTCTGAGAATCTGAAATACAGGCTGAGAAACAAATGAAATTTATTTATGGTAGTCTTGAGTTCACTCTTGAAGAATAGAGTATTTGCATTCTGAAAATAAGAATTAATTCAAACTCCAGGTAAAGCAATTTGCTTGGAATTCTTGCTCTAAAATAATGTTATAGAAATAATTCATAAGAGGTAAAAATGTACAAAGTCTAGATATAATACTTCCTTCACAAAAAGGACTATGGTGTTACCTCAAAGCATGCCACATAACAGGTTTAGGTTAACTAGTTATACCTCATGAACTTATCTCTGTATAATACATCCTTCACATACAGGTAAAGAGGAAACAAAAATATAATGTTTTGCCATTTAAATAACAACCTAGAAATATTTTCTCAAGTAAGTACCACTTTTAACCTTCACTTGACAAGTACATTTAAAATATTTTTCTTATTCACTCAGGACAGATCAAATCTCTCAATATTGTATTACTAATCTATTGCAATGCTGCTGAAATGTATTACACTGCTTGACTTGTAACTTCAACTTCAAATCTTAGTATCACTGGGCTTGTCTCCACTTTCGTTAAGAAAACAATTCTCATTGAAATTATGAGCTTGCTGGTGAATTTCCTGCCATATAACCAATATTTTAGCTCTCAGTCTAAACCAGGTGCTTTAGCAGGTAACAATGCTAGTATCTACCTGAAACTCACATGTTTTTACTGGCTACCAAATTTTCAATTCCAGATTACTCAACAAACTTACCCATTAAGGGTAAAGAAACCAATAGGAAAGGTAATGAATTAAGCAGCTGAGACAAGAGAGAATACAAAAATATGGAAGCTTTCTTGAGAGACAGTAAAATTTTAAGATGAATTTAAGAATACACATAAAACAGCTTAAGTTTTTCTATTTTATTCAAATCAGCATTCTAAGGGAAAACACAAAGAAAAAGATAATGAAAAATGAAAATAGTTACATTACACTTTTGGATGCCACAATTTTGCTAGTTCAATTATCCTTTCTACTTGCAAATGTATCATCCTCTTGTCTATGTAAGATTATGTCTTACAACCCAGCACAAAGCACAAAGCATTATAGGTACTGAATACATAATATTTGTCAATAAGGACTGAATTAGTAAATATACAATAAACAAAAATATAATCTGCTACAGAAGAGCTATCTGTAAGAGTAATACAAACATTTTTTCCTGTGTACAGCTGTGTGTCCATTTTTTCTCTTGCTTTTTTCTCATGTCCTCTGTTGTATCTTTACCGTTTCCTATATAACAACTAGCTTTTCAATTTCTATTTTAATAATTTCTCAGACTTTGAAAAATTCGTATTTCAATATCCTCTACAAAATTTTTATGTTTTTGCCCATTTATCTTATAAAAGAAACTATAGTTGAAATGGGATTACTCACCATAGAAAAGCCCCTTTTCTTTTCCCAGAGGTAGCTCAACAAAACTGGGCAGACAAAACTGACTAATCTTGCATCTAGTTGTGACTTCATCCTTCTTTTTATGAAAGAACTAATGTTCTTCTCTCTTCAGTCTTACTTACAAGAACACAGGAAAGAAAAGAAGAGAGAGAAAGATAGGGTGGGACTTACTTAGATTCAGAAAACAGGAGCAATGAGAAGTAATGAGAACTATAAGAGCTACATTTGGGAATAGAAACAAGGAGTTCTCCATGAGGAAAATATGTAGCACATTCCTGTTCCTCTGTATTGTGAGATTCCTCCTCACATATCCTCTTGTAGGTGGACAGTAAATGTATTAGCAAAATAATAAAGAACAAAAAGTGTTTTGGGAATTAGCATGATCAAATAGGAATGCATTTTAGATCACAACTTTCTTAAGCTAACCACAAAAAAAGACTAGTTACATCAGTATAGAAATAAAAAAATAAAGTGACTTAGAAAAACTGGAAGCAAGTATGCTTCCAGAAACTCATTACAGAAAAATATATTTTAAAAACAGTTTTAAGTGCTCAAGGTATACTGAGATAAAGTTCTGAGTTTCTGACATTAACATCTATTTTGGTAAAATGCCTGGATCCCAGGGATGTGTACAAAACAAACACCAACTGACACTGAGCTAGCCAGTCAGCTGAGCTAGCTTCACCTCACCAGAAGCAAGTGCAGTGCAGCTGTCAGTACAGGCAAGGACTTCTGCACATGGGTCCCAATTGACCTTGCAAGTGTCTGGCATCACTTCTCCAGCTAAACTCAAAACAAAACACCCTGCACAAAAATTGACCACAGTAAGGTTGGTGAAAACGTATCACGTGCCACTCAATACTACAGAATAAACAAGTCCCAATACTGATATTACAAAAACCAGTAAATAGTCATGTTTTTAAAATGATTCCTAGTTTATATGCCTAGAGAAAAATCAAATCTACTGTGGATTCACACTTCAATAAATAGAGGACAAACTGATCTCTGCAAAAGGCAGTTCACCATAGCAAGGAAGGGTTAAAGAAGATAACCTGCAGTAAATTGAAAATAAGAATTGTTCCCGTAGATAACTTTTTAATGCAGAAAAAATTAGAAGGCGGTAATTTTTCATTCTGATAACAGCTCTGAGATTCTGGTCTACTGCATACAAGCTCTAACATAGTCTGAACAGGATGGTTAACAAGATGATATACAAAGAGAAGAGAAAACTGGAGGAGTAAATATAAATGCCCTGATTAAAGAGGAAAGGAAGCCTATCTCAACTGGAAAGAAACAAAATACAAAAGAGATTACAAAATTTACAAGTTTGTTCATTCTATGAGAAAAGCTTGGGAGTAGACTACTCAGGGAAAACAAACAGCACTGAATGAGAGCTAAAAAAAAAAAGCTCAAAACGATATTTACAAAGTCCAGAGAAGCAGAAAGAAATGATCATTAAGGCATTTTCTGGTATGAGATTAAACTATAGGCATTACGCAGAGAAAACTTTGAGAAAGGTGATATAACTAATCACACAAATAAGCTTATTATTTGGCCTGTCAAAGCAGTTTGGAAACACTCCCATTTCGTAAGTAAAGAGAAGAGTCATATTAACCAGACTCTGAAACAGTAATAAGCAATTCTAAATTATATAATAGCTGTGTCCTTTTTATGACATATAATGTTTTCTAAATACCTAGCAACAAAATTAAGTGTCTAGATGAGCTCTGTAAGACAAGCATTTTAGGTTATAAGAAATATTAAGTTTTATGTTTTTTTGTTTAACTCAAATGAAGCAAGAATGAGACAAAGGAATTTGCCTTCGTTCTAGTAAAGTAGCCACATGGCAAATGGATGCTGGGGAAAATTAGCTGAAATAAAAAAAGAAGTGAAAGAAGAATCAGCAGTATCTATTATTTGTTAATTATTTGGGCAACTACTTTCCTCAGGATAAAAACCAATTCTCTTCTACAAAGGAAAAGAAAAACTTCCCCCAAATGAAAAATCAGGCTCACAAACAGATCATGTGGCCCACTTGGAAGAGTGAGACTACTTCTGAAGATGACAGAACCAAAGCCCAGCCCCAGGCATCCATATAGATTCCAAAGTTAATTCTCAAGATAGCTATACTGGTCAAAAACTAAAATTGGTTTCCTTAGTTACTAAAACCACAACCAATAAAGACTCAGTATCTTCTAAATACATCCAGTTTAAAACAGATTCTAAATCCACATGGTCAGCAATTAATTCACACCTAAGTTTTTGTGGGCACATACACATTTAAAAATCTTCCCATAGAGTATCTCTACTTTTAAACAATTCCATCTTTCTTTAGAAGCGGCCATATTTTTTTAAACTTAGCATTTCTAAAACAAGCTATTGATAAACTAATTTAACAAAATCTCACAGAATTCTGTATATTAAGTAAAGTGGGTGACAGATTCTTTATCATTTCTAAGTATATTTTCTTGTATAGCATGTTAGCTCTAAGTATGCTTCTAAGACCTTAGCTGCCATCAGAGAAAGACTAATTAGCAACATAGCTAATTAATTAGCTTATTAAACTGTAAAAAGTTAGTAGACAAGTTCAAACAGAATGTATTCTTCTAGAAAGCTTGTATCAAGAGAAATGATATGATTCGTAATAAAACCAAAAGGAAATAAATTTTTTGTTTTAGTCTCCTCATTTTCCATATGCATAAGGCCAAAGTGAATGACAAGATTTACTGATTTAAAAAATATATATATACATATATATATATATAGTCTTAACATATATAACTAGTGTGGGTCTCATCATGAGCAAAGGTGCAGCTGTCTTTAGTAGCCAGCCCCTTGGAGAAAGTGGGTATAAAAGATTATTGTCGTTTTAAGGAAAAAAGAGACTTAAGGTGATGGAAAGAGTATCAAAATGAGAGAACAGGAAAACATAAATAAGAAAGTTACCCTCAATATTAGAATGAATACAACTGAATTTCAGCTCTCTATTTGAAAAATAAAATTTCAGAAAGGCTCTTGATGTTTCTTTATTGAAAAGAAAGAATGTACCTTCTTTTAAAAGAACTAGCTTGATTTTTTTCAAAGAAACCAAATTTTTAACATATTTTAAAAGGTTCTGATTAGCTTTCAAAAATGTAAAAAAAAAAAAAAAAGGTCTCTCTTACTTCATTTTTAAAAAGGTTAAATTAGGAAATAAGGAGGAATAGAATAGAAAAATAGAAGAGCAGAAAGGAAGAAGTGTCTGATTCAATCTCTCTACTGACCTCTCGAGAGAAATCAGACTGAAGAGAAGAAAGCACCTTTAATATCTTCACCGGCTGAGGTGTCACAGCAGAAGCAGGACTAGTCAGTTTTTATCGACTTGGGGGGGTATGAGAAAATACCCAGTAGTGCTGAGGGAATAAGCAAGAGGAAACAGATCATATTTCAATAACAAATGCCATTTAATTTATACATATACACAGTACTTCTCTAGCCCTTTTGTGAAAAAGGTGTGGATGTATCTAACATTGCTGTGTGTGAATGCACAAGAAAAATATTAAGGCCAAAGTGATGAATTACATACCAGGCAAAGAATGTATGAAGGCCCAGACATCATCAACTGTCCATATAGATGGCTCTGTTTGTGCAACTGGTAGCAAGTCACTGTTCTCAGGCATTTTCCGAATTCTCACATCCCGAAGCTCACGTTCTCTTTCCCGCTCACTCTGCCTGCGTAGACGAGTTGTCATAGCAGAGGGCACAGAATCTTCATGAGAAGCCAAGTCTTCTTCTGCAGATGGATAAGTAATTGGAAGCTGGAAAATGTAGTACAAGCAAAATACAGCATTGCACTTTCCTTGCATTTCTGAAAAGGGTATTTTACATTGAAGCAAGGTTTATACAGACCTGCCTAAGCATATGTTCTCTTGCTGCCCCATCAGGGCCACTTGGACGACGGCCACGATGCCCAAGACTTTGATTATCAGGCTTACGATTCCAACGACTAAGTGCAAATTTTTTAGAACAGCTAACATTGTACCTAAGAAATTCAAGTAAGAAAAAATATTTAATGATATATGGGACAATCCATTTAGTATTTAATTGTGACTTTAAAGTGCAACTGTAAATACATCATTAATGAACGTAAGACCTCGTAAAATAACTACACTGTTCAATGGATTTACTTATGCTAAAGGTCAAAAAACGGGCTCTGTGTATATCATAATATATCTCTCAGTATAATACTGGACATCTACAACAAGGTATTGTGTTTCTTCCTGATTACAGCATGACAGTGGGAAACTTCCTGCAAAACACAGAGGATAACCAATTTTCACAGCAGCAAAAAAAAAAAAAAGGAAGCTTCCAAAAGAAAAAGTTATGTAGTATCTAAATGTTTATTCAAACTGATTTTTCTAAGTAATAACTTCCAAAGAGACATTAATTTTTAAAAGTTTAATATACCAGGGAAAGGATCTCAAGCAGCTAACAAAAGATTTTTCAAATATTATTAAATCAAAGAATGAAAATGTAAAGTGGAGACTTTCAAGTTATACAAGGAATTCATTGCTCTCACTATTCAGAAAATTTCGAAGTACATAACTCTTTAAAGAAAGATTTTCTTTTATCAAAATAGACCGCCTAATATTTTTGAACATAGACCTTTATAAGACATGATGACAGCTTAAAAGAATCCTATGTCTTTTAATGGATCCTAAAGCCCTGGAACGAGGACTGGCAAACTTTTTCTACGAAGGATCAGATGGTAAGTATTTTAAGTTTCACGGGCCATACAAGTTTCTGTCACAACTACCCACCTCTGCCATTGTAGTGTGAAAGCAGCCATTGAAAATATTGGGCCAGGCACGGTGGCTCACACCTGTAATCCCAGCACTTTGGGAGGCCAAGGTGGGTGGATTACTTGAGCTCCAAAGTTCAAGACCAATAAATGGCAAGACCAGTTTAAGGCCAACACGGTGAAAACCCATCTCTACCAAAAATACAAAAACTAGCCAGGTGTGCTTGCACACACCTGTAGTCCCAGCTACTTAGAAGGCTAAGGTGGGTGGATGGCTTGAGCCCAGGAGGCCAAGGTTGTAGTGACCTGTGATAGCGCCACTGCACCCAGCATAGGTGACAGAGCCAGACCCTAACTCAAAACAATAAAACTAAATTTAAAAAATAAAAAATAAATAGAAAATATTGAACGAGCATGGTTGTGTTCTAGTAAAACTTTCAGTAACAATAACGGTAAAATTTGAATTCCACATAATTTTCATGTATCACAAAATATTATTTTGATTTTTTTTCCCAACAAACTAAAAATTTCAAAATCATCCGTAGCTCACGAGTCCATACAAAAAAATGAACAATGGGAAAGACTTGGCCTGGGTGAGTTTGCCAACCTTTCCCCCTAGAAAGAAGAGTGAGAAGAAATGATCTAAGAAACAAATTTCTGAAAAGCTATGCAAAGGCTAGGAAAAATATATGCAGTTTCATTTTTACATCTATGAAACTGCCTTTGTAACTTATTTTCAAAAATCTGTTTTGTAGAGATGGGGGTCTCACTATGTTGCCCAGGCTGCTCTCAAACTCCTGGGCTCAAGCAATCTTCCCACCTCAGCCTCCCAAAGTGCTGGGATTACAGGCATGTGGCACCACACCCAGCCTTCAAAATTCTTTTGCTTCAAGAAAGTTACAAGAATAAATCCCAATTAACTTTGCTATTGCTAACTATTCTAGAACCAGTATGTTGACACCACAACAAATTCTCCTCACCTACATTTTATAAAGATATCAAGAGGTGGAAATAAAAAGTACTATGATAATGAATATGCTATTTTTCCCATAAAAATATAAGTATCTTGATAGCCAATTCATTTTACCCTAAAACAATTCAAGATCCTGCTGTGTTCATAATGTGCTCATTTGTGGGCTCAGCAATGTAGGTTTCTGATTTCCATTTATATCAACTGACAAAATTTCTTTATCCGTTAAGAAAAGCAGAAAAGAGAGGCTAGCTTTATACTTGATATTTTGTCCCTAAATATTTAGCTTTCCAAGACAGCTAGGCAGACATGTAAATGGCAATGGTTCTTCCCCGACCTAATCTACCCTCTCTCATCCATATTTCCCTATGTTAGGGCCCCTACCCTGCTAAAGAGGTTCATTGAAAGGATACTAATGTGACAACTCAGCATTCATCTCTGAGAGAAGACTGATGGCAGCATTAAGTGTCCTCAAATATCTTTTTTTTTTTTTTTGAGACGGAGTCTCGCGCTGTGTCACCCAGGCTGGAGTGCAGTGGCGTGATATCGGCTCATTGCAAGCTCCGCCTCCCAGGTTCACGCCATTCTCCTGCCTCAGCCTCCGAGTAGCTGGGACTACAGGCGCCCGCCACCATGCCCGGCTAGTTTTTTTGTATTTTTAGTAGAGACGGGGTTTCACCATGTTAGCCAGGATGGACTCGATCTCCTGACCTCGTGATCCACCCGCCTCGGCCTCCCAAAGTGCTGGGATTACAGGCTTGAGCCACCGCGCCCGGCCTCAAATATCTTAAATAGTTAAGAAGTTTAAAATATTCTGAAAGGGAGTCCTTTCCCCAAGTTTTCAGAGTTTTTAAATCACTCAGAATCAGATAACCATTGTTCTTTCTTGTAGTATATGCAAACTAGAAAATTCAAGTTTAAATATGAGTTACATAATTTGATTATTGGTTTATCAGTAACATCAAAGCATATTTGAAAAACAGACTGACAACCAAAACAATGAACCCAATTTTGGAGGAAAACACTTCTATTATTTAACTTAAGTTTTACTAAGTATATTTTGGAAATAACCCATACGAAATAAAATGTTCAAGTAAGAAATTCCTTGATGTATACAATTATATTAATTTTTTCATGAGGTTATAGTTATTTATTTTTTATGGATGCATAATAGATGTACATAGTTTTAGGGTATGTGTGATAATTTAATACATTCATATAATCAGAAAAGATCAAATCAGTGTGCTTGGGATATTCACACCTTAAACATTTGTCTTTTTTTCATGCTAGAACCATTTCATTTCTTCTCTTCTACCTATTTTGAAATACAGTACAAGCTATAGTCATCCTATTGAAGATCTTAAATCCTTTTGAGAGAATAATTATCTTTTTGAACACAGAACCAATTTCAAAATAGTCTGCATACACTTCAACTTTAGTGGTAAGTATCTGTATTACTAGGATTTATTATTAGAATTAGGGTGGGGTTCTTTCTTAACATAAACCAAACTTGGGAATTATACGATTAATGAAGAGACTAAACATTTATTTTGTTATTAATACTATTTGTCAGCCAGGCGTGGTGGCTCACACATGTAATCCTAGCACTTTGGGAGGCCGAGGCAGGCGGATCACCTGAGGTTAGGAATTTGAGACCAGCCTGGCGAACATGGTGAAACCCCATCTCTATTAAAAATACAAAAATTAGCTGGGCATGGTGGCAGGTGCCTGTAATCCCAGCTACTCAGGAGGCTGAGGCAGGAGAATCTCTTGAAGCCAGGTGGTGGAGGTTGCAGTGAGCCGAGATTACACCACTGCACTCCAGCCTGGGCCACAGAGTGAGACGCTGTATTTAAAAAAAACAAAAAAACAAAAAAAAAAACACTACTTATCTATAATAATGACTATTGAAAATACTAATTCAGAAAAGAAAAGTATTTTGCTGTCTGATAATGTTAACAATGTGGGGAATTTACACTATAACTGTCCCATTAGAAATCTAAAATAAATAGAATATGATTCAAACAAATGAAAACATTTTAAAACAACACAAAGTAAATCAAAGTATTTCAATAATGATAAAACAGCTGATAAAACAAATACTGGTTTTGACACTTTAAGGACTAGTATTATATAATATCCTGATCATTTCATTGGAGGGATTCTCCTAAATATATTCTTACCATCAGGAGATTACTACTTTAATATTAGATTATACTGTACAATTGATTTTAAGTATTATGAATATGTAATTTTTGCAAAGAAAAATCTAATAACTAAATACTAAGTGGCTCCAGATACTGCCTATTTGTATTATTCTTCTATATAATAATATCTAGGTTTCTTCTATAATATTACATATTAAAATATCTACAGTTATCCTTGGTAAGCTATTCAAGGGTTTTTTGGTTTTGTTGCAATGGCTATTTATCTGTCCTTTGGGAAATTCAAGAGCATAAAAATACCTTTTGGCACATGACATAGTGCAGAATCGTTTTGATCGCAAAAATTCATTAGCATATCCCATTTTCCCACAGAATTCACACTTGAGCAACTCACTGTCCATTTCTTCTAATGTCTCTAAAAAAGAAGGAAACAAAGGAAAAAAAGGTTCCAAAAATTTAATTATGCAAATTTTCTTTTAGTCTGTACTTTGGTTGGACACTGCTAGGAAACCAATGGCCCTTTAACTTTTCAATCCACAGCCACTCTCGCAGGGCAAAAGCCTTCAAAACACAACCACTGCTACTAATTCCCTCTTGCTTCTGCATAAAAATTATAAGGAATTTCTTTCTATATAAATAAGCAGAACATTTTAAAAGGTTCACCTTGCTTACAATCCATTTAAAATGTACAAAAAATTTTATAAACACTGGGAGAGAAATGAAAGTGAATAACATAGGCACTACCCTCCAGAAGGAACACTTTCAAAAAGCTGAGTGTGGGATGTGAATTTTGGTAAATTGCACTGTGGAGATACATAGCAGGGAACTCTTAATTCTAACTGGAGAGAATAAAGATGGCTTCAAAAGGTGAAATTTTGGTATGTCTGATTTTACAGGAGCATGTAAAATAATTAACTCTCTTGAAGATCTGCAGTATATGATAAAATATATAGAGATGTATATATAGGAGGCTGAGGCAGAAGAATCGTTTGAGACAAGGAGTTTGAGACCAGTGTGGGCAGCAAAGCAAGACCCCATCTCATTCACACATATATACACATACGTAAAATTCTTTAAAAATATGCATATATCTAATTATAAAACAGTTCCTTTTAGTTATATTGCATTAAAATAAAAATAACTAGGCTTAAAAATCACAGTTTCATAATTTCCAAGCACTGATGCTTTTTTTCATCATGCTTTTTTTCAACTTAATGGGTGCTCCCTATTAACTTAGAATGTCCTTCTTCCACCCTACATATGTAACCATTTTCAGGCAATATCACAGAGCACAAAGAACCTTCCATCCTAAATCCTGGGGTACTCAGCAGGAGTCACCCATAAGCAAACAACTTAATCTTCATGAACCACAATTTTCTCATCTGTAAAATGGGGTTTATAATACATTTCCCAAAGAATTGAAGTGACAATTATATGTGTGCCCAAAAGGTAGTAGGCATTAAAAGTGATAGTTCCATTTCCTAATTTCCACATAAGAACTAAAAGGGTAGTATGACATGTAATAAGCGCTCGAGAAATACTTTAGTAAAACTTGTTAAATTCTTAAATCAACCACATTTTGCCATTTTCTTGTATCATCATAATTCCTTTGCCAAGTCATATAAAAAATGCAACAAAAGCATTTTACTAAAAAGCATTTTACTAAAAAGCATTTTACTTTTACTAACTAAACCTTTTAGCTGTGAACTCCATATGTGTGCTCTATGGTTACTCATTTAATAAAGACTAAGATAAATACAGGGATTCAGAAATGCAGACATGGGTGGCATGTATTCAGTAGGCTCCGGTATTTACATTATCCCAGTTTTACTGGGGAAGCAGATCGCAAAGTGCTAAATTAAGTGAAGTAGCAAGAACTACTAAAAAACAAACTGTGAATTAATATTTGACATTAGTGGGGCATCCAAATACATTATCCTGAATAATGAAATCATGACTGACAAGTGACCAGTTTAAGGAAATTCTCAGGACTACCTTCATAAGCAAAAGTCATCAATTTAGTAGCAATGAGGAAGAAACAGTCTGAAAACAAGTAAATTAAAAATTGCTCCTTCCAATGACCTTTCAACGGCCCAGTCAGGAGATCCACCAACACATTCCCGAGACCTGACAACGTAATTCCCAGAGGTACTGTTTTAATTTTGTCATGCTTATAATCTGATCTTATTATAATCTGATCTGATTGAAAAGCCTGTAGGGAGATAGAACTTCTCACTCGACCACCACTGCCATTAGTTCCAGCCCTGAAAGAGTCCATTCCTCAAGGTTATTCCAGGAACAGGATATGCTAAAAGCTTTGTTTCAAAGATCTTCTGTTAATTAACATACAACACCTGATAATAAATTAGAATACTTAATGAAGGAGGAGAAAATACCAAACAGAAATGGTTTACAGTTAATCCAACAAAAATAAGAGTATCAGTTTTATTTCTCATAAAGAAGTGAGGGACATTAACACATTCAAAAATTCTTGTTCTAATGTTCAGTCATATTTTTAACAAATTTGGTAATATTACCAAGGTCACTCTTTTACACTTATGAATTTAAAAACTGCCAAAAAATTTTTTAAGAACTGCTGATTTAGCTAATAAAAATGGGATTCTATGGCAGAGACAACTGGTAATTCTCCAGCATCCACTCTTTGCTTTTCTCCCATAGTTACAAAACCCTACGAACACGGCCACCCAGATTAAAAACAAGTTTCTGCCCTATGTGTGGCTGATTTGTAACCAATGGCATATGACTGTAAATGCTCACAAATTCCAGGTGGTGCTCCTTCCCCCCATCTCATTGGTTAGAATGTGATCATGAAGATCAGCCATCTTGGAAATAAAAGCAACATTCTATGGATGACAGAGACATAAGACCCTGGAGCTTGAGTGCCCAATACTAAGGAACTATCACATAAGCCCTGGACTGCTGATCTTTGGGTTATGTCAGAGAAAATTAAATTCTTATCTTCTTTAATAATATTATTCTGGATGTCTACTGAAGTGGCCAAACCTGCTTCCTAATCTAGATCCCCCATTTTGTGGCATGAGGGGAAGTTATTTTTTATTTCCCCCAAAGACCTGAAATCACATGAGGACAGCAGCAAAAAGAGGCAATGAGATGGAAATCATAATCAGTGTGATGATATACCAAGGAAGACCATAAGCTACTTTGATGAATCACAATCTACTGGTTGGAGACTCTCGTTATAGAACCAGCCTAAAGAGAACTACAGTTTATCCTTTATATGCTTATCATGAGGTTTTTTATGTTGAAACTATATGTACCACTAAAAGCAAAGCCACTAAATAAGTGACCTCACCATTTTACACTATAGTACTTCCTATAAACACTTAAGTACATAGTAATAGAAACATGAAAATTATAAAATTACCTTGGGAAATTAAATTAGAAAGTATTTAAAATTTTAGCACGTTTTATATAAATATTTCTCCTGTATGAAATATATTATCTCTACATCTTCCTTTCCTTACTCTGATATCATATCCTGCTGAACTACCCACTTGCCTTGAGAACATCAGTCCTTTCCTTCCTTTTCCCACCATGACTATATGTGTCAATTACATGCAAAACTTACACATACATTCTACAGATGGCCAACAAAGTTTCCAAAAACACTCCTTTATTCATATCACCTGCCTAAAAATCCTCAGTAACCATCCGCCCAGCTTCAAATCATCCACCTAACTTCAAACTTGCTTTCTAATATCCAAGGTTCTCCAGAAACTGACTCTGCCAGTCATACTTTCCACTACTCCTCTAATTCAACCCTTTACTCTTCACTGCCCTCTCTTAAAGTTACCTAGCACTTACACATTCTTCATGCACTTACTCTTAGTGTTCTAATCTGAAATGTTCTTGTTGTTTATCTTAAATCCATGCATTAAATCTATGACCCAGCTCAAATCTCATTTTTATTGGAAACCCACCAAACTGGGAATAATCTTAGCCAGTTTTAAAGTTCTAAATTCTTCCTGTCTATATAATTTAGTGTAAATATACCATCTGTAGCTCATTACCTTTCTGTATGGAGATTCCCTAGATCCCTAGTTCCAAACTACATGAAAAGCTCATGGAGGGAAAGGGGATTGTATTTTACTTCTTTATGTATGTAAAGAATATATACATACATACATATATCTCTCATGTTCTAGAATAGTCTAACATGTACTACATGCCCATTATATTATAAACTGAGGATCATACTGTATGTGGTAAAGTTTCCTAAGCAGATTTCCATGTTCTTCCTATTGTGTACACGGGGGGGGACACATTATAAATACTTTTTAGCCTAGCACTTTCATTTATATACATATTGTAGATACAGGCCAAGAAAAAAAGAATACCTACACATTTTTTTGTTACTTTTCACTTCACATGAGAAATGTTCTCAGATAAAATAGTATGTGTAATGAAAAGACAGTATTTGAGAATTAAATGAAATTAAATTCATAAAAACAAAAGGCACAATACAGACCTTATTTGGATCCTGATTTAACTAAATAACTATAAAAGGACTTAAAAAAATTAGGGAAATATGAATATGGGCCAGATATTATATAACACCAAAGAATTATTATTTTGTTATGTGTGATATGGCATTATAAGGAAATGTGTATTATTTTGAGAGATACACACTGATACATGCACCAGAGACTACAATTTTCTTTAAAACAGAAAAGAAAAGAAAAGAAAAGAGAAGAAAGAGAAAAGAGAGAGAAAAAAGGCAAGGGAAAAGGAAGGAAGAAGAACAGAGAAAAGAGGAGAGGGGAGGGGAGGGGAGGGGAGAGAAGACAGTGGGGGTCAGGAATGGAGGAAGGAAAACAAAATGAATGGTGAAGCTAATGTTGCAAAATAATGTTGAAATTGGGTGATAATGTTGAGTTTGGGTGATTGGGGATTTATTATACAATTCTAATGAATGTTTTAAAGTTTTCATGGTTAACATTCTTTCAAATTAACACAAATCAAACTGAACTCAAGTAGTAAAAATCAAATTTTAAACTAGTATACTCTTTGCTGTTCAAATAAGAAGTAAAACGGTGATTAATACGTTGCAACAGTTTATAAAGAACCAACAATGTCAGAGGTGTCATCCTTTTAAGTTAGAAAATCTGTGGTCAAAGACATATCTAGTTTGCTTACCAGCATGCTATATTGCTTGATTTAGCGAAGTAAAGGCACATAGTATAGGCTCAATAAATATTTGTAAAGTGAATAAATTAATTTTAATGAAATATACTAATACATTGATGATAATTACTTAAGACACAAGTGTTAATTCACTACTACAAGGCCTTGACTATTCTAAGTGCTACTGCATTAAATTGAACTCTATCACCTGAAGGGTCATGATCAAAATTAAGAGGAATAGTCTCATGAAGATGCTCCTGTAGAATATGGCAATTCAGAAATCTCACCCCAAAAAACAGTAAAAACTTAGCTGCTTTTAAATAGCAAATTCAAAGTATAAAATATCATTTTCATTTTTTTTGTTTGCTTTCCTTCAGTCATTTTGGATACCACTTGGACTTCTATTCATTTTATTTTATTTTATTTTATTTTATTTATGTTTTGAGACAGAGTCTTGCTCTGTCACCAGACCGGAATGCAGTGGCACAATTTCGGCTCACTGCAACCTCCGACTCCCTGGTTCAAGCGATTCTCCTGCCTCAGTCTCCAAAGCAGCTGGGATTACAGGCGCACGCCACCACGCCCAGCTAATATATACATATATTTTTATATATTAAAAC